TGAGAGAAAAGGACAATTAGACTGACAACAGACTTCTCAAAAGCAAAATAAAAGCTGTAAGACAGAACCAGCATCTTCAAAGGACTGAGGAAAAATAATAGCAACATAGAAATATTTACCTAGCAAAACTATCTTTCAAGAATAATGGTGAAATAAAGACATTTCCACATAAACAAATACTAAGAACATTTACTACCTAGTAATACACTTAAAGTTTTTAAAGATCTGCATCAAAAGGAAATGGGGAAAAGAGACACCATATAAAATAATGAGCAAATATAAACCCAAGCATACATGATCTACACAAAAACCATATATTAACAATAAAAGGGTAGATGTAGATGATTGACTGCTATGGTCTATAAGGCAGGAAGGCAAGTGACTGAGTCTAAGTGTTTAAGATTCCTAAATTGTTTCAGAGAAGGTCACAGTAGTAAATGTAGGTTTCTTAAGTAAACTCTGTAAAATTTCAAGGGTAATGATTGAAATAGTTGAAATAAAGGATCTAAAGTCCAGACAAATAAAGAAAGGAATAAAATAGAATAAGAAAAAATTTTTAATCATTTTTAATGAAAGGAAAAATGAGGGATAAAAAGCATAGAAAGAATAAGGTAAAGGAAAAAAACAGATGGTATAAGAAGCCGGAACATATCAATTACCACAATAAACGTAATGAGACTAAGCATACGCGTTTAAAGGAGGCTAAGCACACTAGTTAAAAACAAAATCAGGTTATTTGCATTTTACAAGAGACACATCTAAACTATCTGAACATGGGAAGTTTGCAAGTGAAGGATAACAAAAGATCTAGCACACAAATGTTGACTAAGAGAAAGTTGAGGTGGCTATATTAATATCAGACAAAAAGGACTAATGCAATATACATCATGGATTTTAGATAGGGTCCCTACACCATAATAAAAGGTCCAATTCATTATATAGGTTTTAAAAATTCTAAATTTGTATGTACATGCATCAAATAAAATTGCTTCATGTATATTTACTCTAATTTTTCTTAATAGGCCAAGCAGATGGAAACTTGATCAAAATCTAAACTATTTTAACAGCACAACTGACAAGCTCCAAATATTGGACATCTATAAAACCCTGCACCCAGTAGTTAAAGACATTCTTTTCAAGCATGTATGAAAAGTTTATAAAAACTGGCCTCTCTTAGAAGGCCAAAAAGCAAGTTTCAATAAAATTCAAAGAATCAGTATCATATAGACCACATTTTCTGACCATACCAACATTAAATTAGAAGTCAGCAATTGAAAGATAAAAATATCAACATACATTTGAAATTTTAAAACAAGTCTCTGAATAAATCATGGGTCAAAGAAGAAATAATAATGGAAATCTAAAATACTGAGAATGTGTTAATAATAATTAAAATCTGCATTTCAAAACTTGAATGCAATAAAAAAAGTACATAGAAGGAAATCTGGAGTTTCAAATATTTATACTAGAAAAGAAGAAGCTGGAATTTACCGAGCTAAGCATCCAACTTAAATTGGAAGAAATGTGCCAAAAATAAATTCCAAAAGCTAGAAAAAATAAGAAGGGGCAAAAATTAATGAAATAGAAAATGAACAATGCCATAGTTGGGTCTTTAAAGTAATAATAAAACAGATGTTCTCCTGATGAGGTTGATACAGCAAAAAACAGGGAAGGCACAAATAATATTAGAAAAAAAAAAGAAAAGTAAAATCTTTGCCTAAAGTGCACAAAGCAAATCAGAGGGGCAGTCCAGGCTCACATTTAAGCCCGGCTAAACTCCTTTCTCCAATATCCACAACAGTGCACGCCAGTGAGGACAGGATGCTGGTGGCACTGATGTCTGTGGGTTGGCCTCCTGCGTTGGCCTTACCGTGTGAGATGGATGTTGAGAAGCGAAGCAGAGACACGTGAAACACAAGGACAACCCCAGAGACCAAAGCAGCCACCACTCTCTTCAATGGGACAGCTACTTAACTCAAATAGACTTGCCCTTTATTGTGGGGGAAGAAGGATCTGGAAAGGAAAAACCAGATCCTATTTCTAAAGGTGCTCTGAAGGCTGGTTCCTACTGACAGATTAGAGAGAACCTCTTCTTTTGTTTTTTTCTTCATGGATGGCAAAAGTCCTCACATCAGTTTCAAAGACTCACTCCCTGGGCAGTGAATTGGAATATCTGGTTGGTGGGGGCTCAGATTTCTCTGCATTACATCATAATTTATTCTTCACAATGTCTGACAACCAGATAAGGTTGAGGTCCAGACATGAGGGAGGTTTGCACCGAGGAAGGTATATGCAGGTGAAAATGCACCACCCTGGGCTGAGCAGGAGAAACAAGCGGGGGGTGGGGGGGGGAAGAGTGCATCCGCCCTGCACTTGGCATTGACTTCTGACTTAATTCCTTGAAGCTATTTTGCTTTGTCAAATGAAAGGAGGATAGATGAAGTTCACACCAAGAGTAAAGAGCCATTCCAAGCAGTGAAGCCTCCCATCTGCCTGAATAACCAGCTGTACAAAGAGTGGCATGGAGGCCAGAGGACCAACAAAACAAGTAACAAGGTCAACAAGGTTCAACAAGATTTCCAGCAGGTTCTCAAGTGTGAGTGATCTGCATTGCCTGGACTTGTGCTAAGAACTCAGAACACTGCATGGAGGGAAGGGGACCAATTACAATCAAGACCTCTGGATCTGAACCCATCTCAGCTACACAGAAGGTGTGGGACTCTGGCAGGCTCTTCAATCTCCTGCCTCACGAGCATCTTCTATAAAGCCAGGACTAAGAGTTCTCCCTGAGCATAGTGCAAGGGTGGAATACAGTAGCCATGTGAAGACATTCCGGAAACTGCTGCCCTTCCACCTTATAAGCTCTCACAATGCACCCCTTCTCCTGATTAAGATATTATACTTCAAGTCTATAAAGATACATTGGTTACTGGTGTTAGCCACATTCATTCTTCTAATCCTTGACAGTACATGAAAAAAACAAAAACGAATTGGATCACATTCAAAAACCAAAGACAGCAAAGTATTAGCAGGGCAGTGCTCTGAAAGAATAGTTGTTCTGCACGGCCGAACCTCCTGAATAGAGGGGGCTTTCCTCTCAAGAATCAAAGCATTGAAAACAAACAAGCCAGAAGAAGCAATTTGGGATTAAAAAAAAAAAATCTCTCCAATAAACTTCAAAACTTCAAAAGTATGTCGGCAGCCCTCAGGAGCACCTACTGAGTATCGTTTTACTTTTCCTTGAAGGTTTTTATCATTATTCTGAGCACACGGGGCAGCCATTCAGTGACGACGCTGATGGCATTTGCAGGGACTGTAAAGGTTTAATCCAGCCCCTAATTTTACAGATGAAAAATTGAATTCCAGAAAAGCTGATTCACCCACGCCATAGAGTTAGTTGGAGACCGTGCCAGACCCGGGCCTCCCAACCTTCTGCCCCAGACACCACTTTTTAGGAGCTCCTGACCTTTGTAAGACCCCCTGGCCCACCTTGAAATAACCTCTGAATGCCTGAAATAAATCTGGAACCCCAGAAAGTACCTGGGCACTGACTTTTATGTCTCCCTTCCCTGAGGTCCATGGATGATGTTTGCCCATGGAAACCCCACTCGACTGTGTGTGCATTCTGCCTTCAAGGCTCATTTTATTCTTCATTTGGGGTTTAAATGTCTTCAAAACTCAGTTATACCTGAGTGTTGTTCAAAACTCTCCAAGGGGAGTTCTATAGTCTGCCTGGGAAGTAAGCGCTAAGCAGCCATGTGGAGTGGAATAGAACAGCCACGGAAGAGAGGCAACTCACCGTGCAAATGCCCTCTCCTACCCAGGGCCACACCCTGTCCACTCCAGCTGTGAAATCCCTGACAACAAGGCCGCTGCAGTTTATAAAGCAGTCCCCAGCGTTACCCACAGAATAAGTAGAAATCAAAGTACCCCAAGCACACATGCACACTGCCTGGTGGCCTGCCGTAGGTGGTGTCTCCGTGTAGCACATCACAGTATGTGCACACACCCACACATGGCATTACAGAACATGCACCACGTCAAAGATCTATAATCCCAACCCCAGAGAGAGGAGGTCACTAGACCGCGGTACACCATTAACAGTCGAAGAAGGGGCACTAACTCCCAGCCCAGCCTAGCGCAGAAACCAGTGCCGCCGCCAAGGGCTCATGAGGACCCACCTAACCCCCGATGCAGTGCCTGCCCAAAACACACTCAAGGAAATGTGGAAGCAGTCCCTACCCGGCCCCCAGCAGCCACCGCCCGGTAAGTGGGGGGTGAGGGGTGGGTCCATTTTGAAGGACTTGTAGCCCCTTTTTGCTGCATTCCTATAACGTATTAGCAGGGGAAAAAATGTAAACCCTTAATCAAAACCTCAGCTTTCCCAACTTATCTCAGATGTTGCCCTTTGCCCCAAAGCAGTTTTACCAGTCATTTCCCGGGGAAAGCCTCAACCTTTGTCCTCTGCATTTCCAATAATCATTTGGGCAACTAGAGAAAGTTTGCTGCCTTCCCCCGGGTGGTTTCGCCTTCACTCTGCCCTCTGGAGACCGTGAGCCGGTCCCGACCAGACCAGCGGCGCTGGCGCACGGACCGCACTTCCCTACTGCGAGTTCGCGCAGCATTTCCGAATGCTGAGCAAACACCCCGCAGCCGTCCCGCACATCGTCCCGGGCGCTGCCATTCCCGAGGAGGCGTGTGCCACGCATCTCGGCACCTGGCTTCCATGACAGTTCCCGCTCGCACCTGAAACCAAAGCCTCGCTCTGTTAACGCACTCGCACCGAAAACTGCACGAAAGGCATCCGCCACGCAGCTCTTCCAAATGCGGGGCGCCCCCAGAGGGAACCGGCGGGCCCCGGCCTCGGCGGACCTTCCAGGGGGCGCCGCCCATGCTCCCGCGCGCGCGGCGCCCAGAGCACCGTCCGCTCCCCGCCGGCGTGCAAGCGCGGGGCGGGCGCGTCGGGCCGGACGGCCGCGTGTGTCCCATGCCGGCCTTACCTCGCTGACGATGGTGGCGGGGGCCTGCGCGTACCGCCAGCCGCCCCCGCACGCCACGAGCGGCGCCGAGCGGTTGGGGAAGGCGGCGAGCGGGTCGGCGCAGCTGAGCGCGCCCGCGGCGGGGGCGGCGGCGGCGCTGGCGTTGGCCGCCTCCAACAGGAAGCGCCGGCAGCGGGCCCCGGGGGGCGCCGTGCGGTTCCACTCCTCCTCGGGGCTCCAGCCGCAGCGCTCGGCCAGCGCGGCGGCGCCCGGCCCGCGGCACCAGTAGCGCTCGGGCCGGCGGCCCAGGAAGACCACGCCGACGAAGAGGAAAGCGAAGGTGACGCCCGTCAGGCACAGCAGCAGGAACACGCGCCGCTGGAAGCGCCCGAACTCGCCCGCCCGCTTCAGCGCCTCGTCGAAGGAGAGCATGGTGCGCGCGGCCGCCCGCCCGCCGCCCGGGCCTCCGAGTGCCCCGCGGGCCCTCCGGCCGCCGCCTTCACCCGCCGCCTCCCCCGCGCACCCGCCTCCCGCCCCGGGCGCCGAGCCAGAGGCCGCCGCGCCCGCGGCCCCCTCCCCCCGATCCCTGGGTGCCCGCGGCGGCCGGGCCGCTATCCCCTGGGGCGCCGCCGGGGGTCGGGGTGGGCGCGCTGCGGGTCCGGGGGGTGGGGCGCGGCCTGGCCGAGCGCCGCTGCGCGCCAGGGACCCGACCCGGGATCGCAAGTGCCGGGCACAGCCTCCGGCCTGGCGCGGAGCTCCATTCGGTCCCTGCCAGCAGCCGGCTCTGCAGTCGGCCCCGGGTCGGGCTCCAAAAGAAAATTCCAGGGTCACCCAGCTACTCCCGGGCTCCCCGTGCCTGGCCTCCCGGCGGACCCGAGCTCAGCCTGGAGGCACTGACTAGGCGTGCGCTCCGGTCTGCACCTGTGCCCCCGAAGCCCCCAGCAGGCCTCGTCCCCTCGGTGAGCAGAGGCCGCTCTGCGCACCCCTGGGGCGGGACAGCCAGGTCCTGGAAGAGTGGGCGACTGCGGAGCTAGAACCACGCGGGACTGGATTTTGGCAACATCTCAGAGATCGGCCCACTTTTCCAAGGGCATTTGGGCACCCACAGGGGTTACGCGTCTTGTTTGGAGTCCTGAAGTTCAAAGACAGAGGGACTTCAGTTCGAAACATGTTCCCGTAGTCAGGGCCTCAACCACTTACTCTAGGCCTGAAATTGCCCAGAAAGGGTGTTTATTGTTTGGCTTGAACCGTTGATTTTAGCTTCTTTATTTGCTTGCTCCCCAAGATCCACAGAGCCATGTTCGCCCTGCCCTTCCGGCAGCTGCTCTCAGTTGGGGCTGCGCGATCCGTGTCCACGCCAGGATGGCTTCCCTGGGTGCTACCGGCCACTTCCAGGCTTCAGCCCTCAGCTGTGCTGGTCACCCCGCCTGCTACCAGCACTCTCCCTGCCCTGCCTAGCCTCCTGTCTCACCACGTGTTTTCTGAGAATTTCTCCAACTTCTCTCCAGACTCAGTCCCATCCTCAAAAATCGTTCTACCCTTAGCTTACTTATCTTGAAGGGCCAAGAGGCTGGGAGCGCACAGACACGTTCCCAGAGCACCCGGCCCGGTGCCTTAGATTCCCCTGGCCTCATATACTCACCAGCTGGTGACCTTGGGCTACTTAATTGCCAGACCAGTTTTCTCATTAGTTAGATGAGGCTAATACCCTCTTTGTGGATTGAATGAGTTGATAATAAAGTGCCAGAAAAGCTCCTGGTGCATACATAGGTCATGCATTTTAGGTTTTAGCTACTGTAACTGCTGTTCACTTGTTTCTGAGTTAATAATGTGGGTTGAGCAGAGAGGTCCTCAGGATCACAGATACCGTTTGGGATAAAACCCTTGGCAGCGTGCGGGCATCCGGCAGCGGTGCACTGAATGACAGTTTTTATTGTCCTCTCGTTCCTTGACCTCGGCTACTGAAGCACACCTATCGCCTAGTTAGCAGTACCTTCTGTGTCTACGTGTCTCACACTCCAGAGTCTTGCCCACACTTTTCACTGCCTCTGGACGCCCCCAGACTCAACTGTCCTCCCCTCCCCTATTCCTCCTGCTCTCCCTTCTGGTGTGGCCATGGCCCGGCACCAGACTCAGTCTCAGCATCATCTCAGCACCCCTCACTTCTCAGGCCTTTACTCAAGTGTTACCTCAGCTCAGGCTCCCTTTGCTACCCAGCCCTCTGGCCCAGCACACATACACACATACACACAAAAGCACACATACACAGCCTAGCGCCCTTCCCTGCTTTCTCTATCTCCAAAGTCCTTATCACCATCTAGCATATGCACATTTTTATTCCTTTGTCTACTATATATTTTTACTTATTTACTTATCTTTGTGTACACTAGATAGAATGCAGGTTTCGTGAGGCAGAAAGTTCTGTATTATTTCTATATTGCTACCACCTAGAACAGGGCCTACTTCATAGTAGGTGCTCAGTCAAAGAATATTTGCAGAGTAGATGGGTGCTTCCTTAAACCCCCCCTCCACCCCTACTCAGCACCCTCTCTCCTCTGCTGTCCGCCATCTTGATGGCCAGTGCCCCTGGGGGTTCCTCACCTGTGGTCCAGCCAGCCTGCCTTCCCCACTCTACTCCCACAGTTCACCTTGGAGGTGCCACCTTCTGAGCTGGCCTTACTTTCCAAATTACATCCTCATTTCTCACCTCCCCTTTCAAAATCTTAACCTATGTCCCTCACTGAGTTGTTCCCTCAGGTGACAGCCAAACACAACCACTGGCCAATCCTCAAGTCCTTCTTGAACTTTCCTAGATACCCCTGTAGGTATCCCATGCAGTTCCCTCTCCCTGGCCTTTCACCGTCATGCCCACCCCTGCCCTCTGCCCAGCAAGGGCTGGGTTGAATATCAGCACCCCCTTCTCAAAGGCTGTGCCCACCATGACTGCCTTTCTTCCTAAGGAATACCATTGTCATCTGTGCTCCTAACACACCTAAGAACTTTCTTAGGGAATTTTGCTACATTTTTCTTTGTATTGTACTTGTCAGGGTATTTTCATTTTAATTACTTTTTTTTTTTAAGCGAAGTTATCTGAGCATACAGACAAAAAGACCTAGAGTAGCTGCGAAGATTGTGAACTGCAGACCACTGATCCCAATCCCCTTCTACTCATTATAGTAAGTGATCTCAGGCAAGTTATTTAGGCTTTTTCTGTAGCATTGAATAATAATAGAAACTTCTTATTTTAATACAAATCACTTAGAATGATAATTGAGACATGATAAGTCCTATATAAGAGCCAGCTGTCAAAAAAAGGGTGATAAAAAAATAACACCCACCCCTAGAATTAGCAAATGTCATATTATCATGTTTGTTTTATTTATACTGTTATAAAGAACCAACACTCAAAGACACAACTGAAGTCTCCCTGGGCTTCAGGTCCTGTTCCCTGTCCCCTCCCTTTCTTTCTGAGGTTTGCCCCAGGCTCTTTCTTCAGAAGGTACGTCCAGCATGAAGGCTCAGGTCCACTGGGTAGAGAACCCTGGGGTCCCACCTCCCAGAGCACAAGGCGGCAGGAAGGCAAAGGGAGATAGGCTTCAGGTGGGTGCAACCTCTTGGCCCTGGAGCTAGGGGAGGTAGGGGAGTGGAAGGAAGACCAGAGTGCGGCCCCCAAAGGCATAGGACCTCTCTTCCCCGGTATAAGTATCAAGAAATTATCCATCTAATCCATGTTTTAATCCTTTTAATCCCTAGGTATTACACACAGACAATATGTAGTACTCAGAGTGCTTTGAAAGTTGCATAAATGGTACCCAACTCTGTAACTGTTCCATCACTTCTCTTTTTCACTCCACATTATATTTTTCAGACCTTGATATATAAGGATCTTGCTCACTTACTCTGCTGTTCATCATTCTGTTCAATGGCTGTAATTCATTCATTCCCCTATTGACAGACATTTAGCTCATTTTTTACTTTTCACAATTATAGATGATGCTACGGTGAGCCTTTCAGCACATCCCCTTGTGCATCTGTGCAGGAGTCTAAGATAAATGCCTAGAAATAGACCAGCGCAACAATAGCATGTAGATTTTGAGCTTTGCCAGACATTGACAAACTGCTTTGGAGGGGTGGCCCCAATTTGCACCCTACTGGCAGCATATGAGATTATCCCTGTTGACATCAACATTTGGGCTTGCTGGATGGATTCAAGCACGTTCCTGGGCACTCTGGGTGTGAAATGAAACCTCATTGTTCTTGTTAACATGTCCCTGATTTAATCAGATTGAACATATTTTACATGTTTATGTATCTCCTCTTCATATGCTCTGCTGTGTTCTCTTTGTTACTTGTTTTTCTTACTGAACTTCTGGGAAGTTTTTTGTGTATACTCGTGTAATCTGCTCCTTTGTCAGCTGTATCTGTTTTACATTCTCAGTCTGTGGCTTCACTTTTAACTTTGTTTATAGTGTCTCAGTGACTACAAAAAGTTTAAATTCAGATGTAAAGAAAATGCATCAAATTTCTTCAAAGCTCCTGCTTTTTGCATCTTGCTAAAAAGAAATCCTACATGAGTATGTTTCTGGGCTCTTCATTCTGTTCTACTGTTCTATTTGTCCATCTCCATGCCTATTTTTCCCTGTTAATTGTGAGTGCCCTCCATATGCATTTTATACTTGATTAAGTTCCATAGAAATTCAGTTGAGATTTTGGTATAAAATTGTGCATGCATTTTATTTCTCCCATTACTTTGTACGTTTTTGAGAGAAATGTCAAAGCACATTCATCTTTCTATCTTAAAGCATTGATATGTATGCTATATCTGCACTGTTTAATAGGGTGGCCATCATCCACATGATGCTATTTAAATTTAAGTTAATTAGAATTAAATACAATGAAAAGTTCTGTTCACCATGAGCCAGGTGTCAGGTGCTCAGTAGTCAGTGTCGCTAACTGGCTGTATATTGGACCATGCAGATCCAGAACATTCCCATCATCACAGAAGTTTTGTGGAACAGGGCTGTACCAGACACAGGGATCAATAAATGATAGTTGAATAGGAACAATAAGAATCAACTGGTCCACAATCTTTAGCTTTTGTAACAATACTGACTTTAGCTCTTTTTGAAAAAGTGATCTAAAATTCTATAGTTGATATTTTCTATTGCCTTTAGAAATGGATAGAGCAGGCATTAAGGTATATTCATCACCTATTGAGCTACCAAAATATGTCATAATGACATTTATGCTGTTCATTAAGCATGAAAAAGATTAGCTTTTCATAATGTAAGAAGATTTATACTATAATAAATCTCAAAATAAAACATTTTAAAAAGATCCATTGAGAGAAAACTTGGCAAGTGCATTGGTGCCCGTGCTGAGGCCTAAGGGAAAACTTAGGGATCATATTTTTTGTTTTGTTTCTTAACAAACTGGTGAGAATATTTGAAACACTTCCCTTCTTACCTTATTTGGCATGGAGAAGCTATTTTTTTACCTTAGTGTGTGACTATAGTGAAAACTACAGAGCTCTGCCTTTGTGACGTGGCCTAACACCGACTTAGGTGGACCAATATTCATCATTTTTTTGTCTCGCTCACTCTCTTGCTGGTTGATTACAATTTGGACTTCCCTAGAGGAACATTTCTGTTTTCTGGGAAAATATTACAGATTCTTTGATCCTTTTGAAGTAGATTCTCTCTCTATCCTTGAAGCATGTAGGACCTTAGACTTTAAAATCATCTTTGGAGAACATTGTAGCCATGAAGAAAAAACACTGAGTAGGCCTGAAATATTCCAAAGTTGAATTTTGACAAGGTAGAAAGACCTAGTGATGCCTAAGAGACTCCTAGAGTTCCTGGCTACTCTCCTAAAGTGTGTGACAGCAAGTCCCCCACCACTTCCAACACCTGTAGCTTTGTGCTGTTATAGCAAGCACAAGGTGAAGCGTGCTCTGTGACTCTTGGAAACCTGTTCATCACAAATGTTTTAGAGCAGGAATGGCAAGTGGGTTTCTTCTTATGTCTCACTCCATCATTTGGCAGGAGCTATCTAGAACACAGTGTTGAGGATACCTTTGAGATTGAGTGGAAAACAGGCCCCACCTGATTAGAGATGTCGGGTAGGGGGTGGTCAGCACCATGAATGCAATAAAGTTGTCATCCCTGTATTGGTCATGGCAGCCGGGAAAGTGCCAAATTTCCCTAATACTCCCTGTAAGTCTCCAAAACACTTAGAACATCTACTACTTTGGGGATTTCTGAAGGTCTCAGAGCGGAGGCTGCTATACTAGTCACATGATACACTGTTGCCCAGAGGTTTCTGCAGAGGTACTTCATTATGGCTGTAACTCTCAGTGAGGCGCCACCAGAGGCTTGGTGCTGGTCCACCTGGCAGAGAACTGGAGAGAGACCCAGTGTTTGTGAATCTCAGTGCCATTGCACGTGAGTCACATTAATGACCCTTCAAACAGGAGAGGCAGTCTCCGGAAAGTTGCAGGCATCAATTAATACTTGAGTCACCCCTCCATCCCATTTAAAAACTGACTTCGCACCTGGCCTCCAGGCTTTATTAACATCTGTGACCAGTCTCTGCCCCCAACTCTGCTGTGTCTCCTGTCCTCCTGTTCCTCAGAGCTGCACGAACAGGGCATACATGGGGAAACGGAGGCTTGGAAAGGTTAACATCATTCGTCCAAATGTCACCCAGGATTAAGGGGCTTACGGGGACCACAGGCCATTTCTGGCATCGCCTATGCCTGGACAGGTCTCCTTACGCCCTCCGGTGGTGCCGCCCTTGTGTTTTCTGTGTGTTTTTTCCATGACTTTCCTGTGAGTAGGTGGCATTGTTTCTTTTTGCTTTAGATTTAGGTCTGTTTTTGTCTTGTTTGTTTTTGATAAAACCGTCTAATACATCTTAGAATGATCTCTTTATCTTTTGACATGTTGGTATCATAGGGTTTCTTAATTTAACTAGAAGAAATTGTAGAAGTCATGTAGTCTGAGTTCCTTATTTTGCAATCAAGTAATTTAGGGCCAAAGAGATCAACTAACTCAACTAAAATGACTTGACTCAGTTTATAAAAGCGGGACTAGGACCTAGGCCCACACATTTATAAAATTCTGACTCAGATTATTTTTTGAACTTGTCATTTCATGAAATACTATTTTGTTTACACATACAGCATATTCTAGAAATTTTTTAAATCTTGGCATTTTAATGTCAAAATTAAAGTAATTTGAATGAATAGAAAGCCTACACAGTCTTGATTCAAATAACATTGTCAGCAAGATTTTTTTATAGTAAAGAATGGGAGATTTTGTTGCAAAAAAAAAAGATTTCTCACATCTGTTACACTGGAAAGATGGAAGGATCTAATCATTCCAAAGCACAATATTTGTTTAGGGGAAATAAAGACAACTGGTCAAATCTGGTTAAGCTTGCTACCTGAGTTAATGGTATCATGCCAATGGGTTTCCTGGTTTTGACAATGGGCCATGGCTGTGTAAGATGTGATTATCAGGGAAACCGGGGAAGGCACACAGAAACTCTCCCGTACTATTTTTGCAACTTCATGTGAATCTTAAACTATTTCAAAATAAAAATTGTTTTTTAAAAAAAGTATTGATACATTGCTATGACAACCAGTCCTGAAAAAATTGCACCAAAAATGACTGCGCCATTGGGCTCTTCCTTTCAAGGACATGACAGTCCCTGCACTCCAAACCCAGCCCACCTCCCTGGCCCTGCTCTGTCCACAGTCTCAGAGAAGCACAGTGGCTCTTGGAACAGGCTGCGGAACGCAGGGGGCTGAAGGGACCTCAGCAGGCTGGCCCGAGGATGGTGGCCTCCTCCTTACCACTGTGTCCCTGCAGGAATGCCCTTGAGTACCAAGACCCAGCTTACAGTGTACGGCCAGGACTCCACCTTCCCATTGGCCATGCACTTTGTACACTGGGGGCTGTCGGTGTGCATGCTGTCTTGGTGTGACCTTGGGTTAGCAGAGAGGACAAGTGAAAGTGAGCCCCGAGCTATGGATTTCTTCTGCTTCCAAATCATCATTCATCTTTAGATGGGCAAAGAAAGTTTTACCAATAGGTGATCAATCATATTTTCCCAAAGTCCAAGTCAGATAAGAAGGCTGCACCAACTTAAGAAATAAAAAGGTTTTGTGTTTCTTCTATTTTTTTACCGTTTTAGTCATTGGTGTTAATTAGTGATCTTACTGGAAAAGACTTGCTGTCTTGACCTACGCACATGCAGGGTATGGGGCCTTGTGTGCACATCCCTAACTCACCTGCAGACACACCAAAATAGTTTGTATTGGATAACCTGGCTCCCCTGGGCATCACAAATGCGCCACTTCAAGATGACTGTGTGACTCAGCAGCTTTCCATCCCTTCCACTCCCACAGGAAGTCCTACCCCTGGCTAGGTTCTCAAAAGCAAGCGTTTCTGGGAATCCCCAGGGGCTGTGTGACGTGTCCCTCACGTGCCGTTTGGATGGTGTTCTCACTCCTCGTCCTTGTATCTTCCAGGCATCTCTATGACAATGCGGACAGGGGGTGGGGGGATCCCCGTGTGCTCTGTGGGATCTCCTCACGGGTTCTCAAGTCAGAGCACACAGGGAAGAGAGTAGATGGGGAAAATCTCACTTGACAATCTTCTCAGTGGTCCAGAACTAGAGCGCATCGTGGTTTCTCTGGGCAGGGACCACATGAAGTGATGGGCACAGATTAAGAGATCATCTTGCTTGAAACTATAAAATGAGAACATTGTGTATACATACGGGATGCTTGCGAATGCCAGGGAAGAGCAGGTCATAACTTCTAGTTCACATTCACAGGGGCCTCTGCTCATTGAGTGGGGGGTTGGCGGGCACTGAGTGGGGCTTCCCTACAAGGCTCAGCCCTCAGTTTCCATTGTTCCCACTTTCAGTTTATCCTTCAAGTCTACATGTGTTTGACCCCCAAATACAGTCAGGTTTCAGGCTCATTCCCATAAGTCTCCTGGGCTATAAAATCAGGGGGCACACCGGGGCATTTGTCCCCAAATATTCTGTCTATATGCCCAAAGCACACAAATGACAGTGCCCACTTATCTGGCCAGCCAGTCCACACCTGAATCTCAGCTCCAGACCAGCCCAAACTCCCTGCCACCTGCTAACACTGGCCCATCCACTGGGTCTTCCATAAACCACAGCCCCACCCCATCATCTAACCCCTCCAAAGGTAAGCCCACCTTCCCAGTTAGACAAGGATCTTCACTGACACCCCAAACCCATGCCAGTTCCTACCTTTACATTTACACTGAATCCTTCTCTCATACCTGAAATGCTCTCTCTTATGACTGTCTTCTGCCTACATCACATCTAACATATATATATTTGTCCATATCCACTTATACCCACGTTCATATCTATACCCATGTTTTTTTCTAACAACATAGCAAGGTGGCTCAGTGGTCAGCTTCTGGCAGCTGCTGTGGAATTGCACCTCTGTCATTTATTTGCTGTGTATCTTAGACACATCATTTATCCTTATTGAGTCTCAGTTTCATCATCAGTAAATTAAGGACAAGTAGCAGTATTAAACCCATAGGATTGCAGGGGAAATAAGTGAAACACTGTAAGTTGATTGCATAGTACTGGACAAAAGGAAGGGTTCAATCAATGTTGACTATTTTTCATAAATTTCTATTTCTAAGTTGCCTCATCCCTCTTTCCTCCACTATGCCTCTTTACTAAACTCATTTCTCTTAATCCCTCCTAAGAATTTATGCCCATATTATACCACTTAATGCTCAATAACATACCACTTACCAGGAGGTACTCCTCCCTAATTGTGCCTTAGAGTTATTATTACCTTCTTAATCTTACTGACAACTAGGACCACATTATATATTTCTCTTGAGTGTATTTCCCACTGTAATGCTGGACATTTCACGAGATATTCTACAAATAATCCATCAGCTCTCCATGTTATTTTTAAGGGAAACTCAATAACTGATTTGATTAGCAGTCTAGAATACTCCTATTTTCTGAACCTCTTTTGCTTTTAATGTTTTCGTCTAACAATACCTTCCCCTGTACACAAGTGGGAAAAATAAATTAGGTCCTCTGTGGTGTCCAGAAGCCATTCGTTCCTGTTCACCCAAGAGGAAGAGAGCCATGATCTCACATTACCAAAATGGGCCCAGACGCCTGACGCAGTTGCTAATTATTGTTCCACTGACGTTTTCTGATGTGCTTTTGCTCTGCCTGTCATGAGCTGGTGATGCCAAAAAAACAAGTTTACAAAGGAAGGAAACTTGGCAGGCACCAGGCCGTTTATGCCTTATTGCCTCGCAGGTGTAATATAGACACAATTTAAAATGTCTTCAGTTTGTATTGTTGGCAGACATTTGTTTGATGTAGTGCATTTCATATGCCAGATGCAATGATAGACAAATGGATTTTTTTTTAATCTTTCCACTTAGCGATTTTATGACTGTGAAATCCCCGTTAGAGAACATCAAGCAACATTTTAGTCTGAAGTGATCAGCATAAAGCTCATTCAGATGCGAAATGACGCAAATACCCCAGGAAAACATAATTCCAAGTGTGACTTTTCAGATGGCAAGTCTCTTCTTCATGGTATTAATTAATCCAAACAGGAAATTTGGCTTGGAAAAAAAAGGTGAAATTGAGCTTTTAAATACCAGTTCTGCAATAGGATTTGAGGTATTATTTGTTCAAGAAAAGCAATACTAATGAATGTGAGGCCCAGAGACTTTCAGATGTTGCATGAATGAACTGCTGGGTGGGCTCCCCACTCACTGCAATGCCTTCAACTTCCCTTAGTGGGTAGTCCAAAGTGTTACGATATTAAAGAAAGATCATTTCACACTATACAAACTCGCCTGTAGAAATCAACTGGACAGGTGGATATTTTTAAATAATGAAATGCTTTTTAACTTTTAGAAAAGAAGTATAGGTTTTAGTTTAGGATGTATGTATACATACACTGTAAATTTCTGAAATCTCAAATTTAAAAACATGAAATATTCAGGTTTGACGTTTGCCATCTAGCACATTAGAAAACTACTTGCCTTTCCTTAGGGAGCCTGGAGTACAGTCCTAAAGGAAGCAAAATTTGACTTTCACCTACTTCTATTTCAAATAAGAAATCAAAATAATAACCTTATATATCATTTCATTTAATCCTTAAGCAAGTAGGAGAAACAAAAATTGTTGTACAACAAAAAGATGTAAATCTCTCATAAGATAAATGGAGTCTTTCAGACAGGCATAGAATTTCTTAATTGAGGAAAAATCCTTGATTTCTTAAACATCATAAATT